GGCTCGGGACCGACGGTCGATCCGAGAGCGCTGTCGGTATCCGAGTCTGCGGTCGATTGACGAGACAACGAGCCCGACCGCTGCGAAACCGATCTTTGAGGCATCGGTGGCGGCTTGGAAGGTGGAGGCGTGGTCGACGAATGTCGCGACTGCCGATGATCCGCTTCCATCTGTCATTGGAAAAAATCGTGTATCGAACGGATCAAGAACCGACGAATTAGACGTCGCTCGAGTTGCAACGTTCGATACCTGAATCGGAATTATCCTCTCCTTCGGCGCACCGCTCCTCGGTCTGCTTTCCGGTTCCAAGCTGGAGCTTCGATTGGTCTGCGGTACCGCGGCTGCAACGGGAAACGCCACTTCCGACCGTTGCGTTCGCAGCTTCTGTGGCTGAAACGCGTCGATCTTGGCCTCGAGTTCGGATTTGAACGCGAACGGAGCTTGGGCCGTCTTGTAAGGTTTCGCGCTCGTCACGGAGATCTCGGCTTTGCTCGTCTTTCGTGGTCTGGGTAGAGTCGCGCTCTTCAGAGTGATCTCCATTTTGCTGGACATTTTCGGCTCTTCCGGTTCGTCGTCGTCGTTGTCGCCGTCGTCGTCGTTATCGTTGTCGAACGCTTCTGTCGAGATCTGAAACAATTCGGACAAATAAAAGCGCGTGCACGGTTAGAACGTTTTCGTTCGCCGATCTACCGTCGATCTTACCATCGTCGGTCTTACCGTCGCTCGTCCGTCCCCGTCCGCTGTTTTCTCATCGAACGAGAAGTTGGTCTCGGTGGGTGTCGTGGTCGAGGATTGCGCGGTCGAACGCGAATCGTTCGTACTAACCGATATCTTCGACGCGAGTTTCTTCGGTTCTTGGCTGGAGGGCGAAACTGGCGGAGATCCGTTTATCCTCCTTTGCATAGGTGGTTTTCCAATCGCACCGCTTATTATGTCGATAGCCCGTTTTTTCGCCTCTTCCTTCTTCTTCTCGTCTTCTTCGTTTTCCTCTGGCTGCTCCTGCTCCTCCCGTTCCTCGCGTTCGACTCGCGTCGGCTTCGACTTGTCGTTCGAATTTTCGTTCTTCTTCGTATCCGTCGTAGGAACGTCGATGATCATTTTGGACGCCACGCACTTCGTAGGCGGAGGCGTGCCGATGGAAGAGAGACTGGCCTTTCTCTCGAACACGCGTTTCGCCCCTCCGACGTTCACGCCCGGTATAAAGATCTTTTTAGGTTTCTCGTTTTCCACGGTCGACGCCATCTGATTGAACTTCTCCGCGGTCTCGAATATCTTGGAGCGTCTCCTTTCGAACGTCTTCGCGGCAGCGTCTCGCGGTTCGTTGGAAAGTTCCGAATCGAGAGAGAGCGCCTTTTCTTTCAGCTTCTTAAACTCTCGTTGAGTCGCCTCGAGGTTGATCGATTCCTCTTGACCGGCGGTCGACGACGTTCTCTCGAACCTCTCGTTTCCGGACAATGTCTTCTCGTTCGATGGTTGGAAGGCGGGTGTCGCGGAACACGCGATCGTTTGATCGAGCGCCATCTCCGAACGTTTCGTCATCGACGACGATTCGTCACGGTGTCCGTCGTCTAACGATTGCGCTTGGCGTTCGTCCGGCGAGCGCTCCTCGTCGTGATTAGCGACGGCGCGGTCTTCCGACGAGATTCGCCGGGATTCGTCTACCGCGAGCGGTCGCTGTTCCGGCTCGTGAATCATCGGCGTTTTGCTTCTCTCCTTGCTCGGTGACCTCTCGCTACATTCTTTGATTAATTCCAGACAAGCTGCCGTAGATTCGATCTTGTTCAAGTCGACGGTCTTGCTGATAGGAACGGTTACCATTGGATCCACCTCCATAGCTTCCTCCGTGATCGAGTTTGGAATAGGCGCCGAGTGATGCCTGAAAGAGGGAAAGAGAGAAAGAAGAAGAAAGAAGAGCAAAGTAACGAACGAGTTAAATGGGAAGGACGTTGACGCGACGTAGAGGCTTCGCGGCGATTACCTGGACGCGGATTTGTACGTTCTAGCCTCGGGTTCGTCCCGCTTCTCTTTCCTTCGAGATCGCTCCTTCCTCTTGGCATCGGCGG